TCCTGATCAACATCTCTTGATTTCTGCTGAAACCTATGATAGATAGAATCTGAATAGGTTGTTAGAGCTTCTTCAATCGATAGGAGTGAATTGATTATACGAGAGTTAGTCAATTCATGAGAGTTAGCTTTCTATCCCGGTGAAGACTAGTCGTCTGCTGGTTAGTCTATCTGAGAGGGCTTGGTCAGCTTAAGAGATTCCAAGATAGTGTCGGATCTTCCCCGGTTTAATCAACGTAACAGTTAATCAACCTAAGGAAATTACAACTTGGACCTAACTAAGGAGCTAGGGGGACTTATTCCCGAGTGACACTTCTCTTGCTTCAGGAAACCGGACAATTTACTGCTTTCTTTCTACTTTAATTAAAATCATTTTCACTAAACTTTCCCGCTAGATAATAGATAATCACGGAGTAGGCGATACATCTAGGCCCTGGGTTGACATTTATTACTCTATTCCACTATAGTTCATTTCCATTCTGTGATTACACTTGGCCGCAGTTTGGTGTTGTGTTTTAGCGTGTCAGATCCTAACTGGTGAAACCAACCCCGAAGTCGTAAGTTGGAAGAAATGGAGCGAAGACCGGGCAAAGAGGAGGAATCAGCTGGAGTTCACGGGTTGGCATTGGAGTTCACGACCTCTAAGGCCGTGAACTATAACCACAAACTGTGAACAGCGAGGTGTCCATGAGTGTTCCAGAGGTTACTAGCAACCAGGCAGTTCAGGATCTTTAAGTCACTGAGTTCACGAACGCGTTTAGGTGTTCACGATCGTGAACTAGAAGGTCGTGAACTCAGCTCGATCTGGGTTTAAGTGTGGATCTGAAAGGAAGAAGAGAGGGAGAGACTTAGAATGAGAAAACTTCTCCTTCTTCAGATTTTAGAGTGAGAAAGTGACGAACCAAAGACGAGGAAAAGCTAGGGTTTGATCTCCAAGCAAGGATTTGGGTTTTCTTCAGCTCAAGGAGCAAGGCTTGCCTCGTCATGATGGTTTTCCTTTCCCTCTTTTGTGTTTTCCTTTCTCCTAACATGGAGTAGTCCCTTTATTTCACTTGGGTGTTTGTAAACTCTAGCTATAACTATTTGAATGCTTGTATGAATTGAATGATTTGTGTGTGGATGTGTTTTAATGTGAATGTGGAGGTATTACTCAAAAATGATTGTGTTGTGTGAAAGCCTATCAATATAATTGTCATTCTAACCTAGTTTAGAGAGAAACCCCCTTAAATTAAGAGGCTCTTCTAGAGATGGATTTCTTTGGGCATTCTAAGTCTCGTAGTCTAGGTTAGTTAGAGGGCAAACCTCCTAATTCGTATTAAACACTTAGGGTTTGGTTATGGGTGGCCGTCCGAACTCCAATTCGAGGGTGAAGTCTAACTAATCCTTAGTCGATAGGTTGAGAGGGTCACATCACTGGCTTGGATCGTATCCCATTCCTCAACCTAGAATCTAAGAGGGTAACTTTGGTTGCTTGTTAGACTTTCCTGCGATTTATGACCCCCTAACCACACATGGTCGTTCGATTCTTCGAGTCATAGTTGTTAGCTACGGGGAGCAACACACGGGTGAAGCTTTCTCAACTAGAGTCAAATCCACTTTACCTTTGCAAAGTAATTTAGTTTTCAATCTTTGTTTTCACCAAAATCGATCCGCTAAATAATGTTTCAAACAGCCGAAGTAGCGGTACATGGACCAGCTCTGGTCGATATTTAAACATACTTGCCATATATTGCACCCATGTAAGGTTTATACTTGGACCTTAGATGGGATTTTATTGTGATAGCTAGAGCGAGTCAGTCACTAAAACGCTTCTACACAAAATCTCAGTTTTTATAACTTATATAGTTAAAAACTCTGCTTTAAAACTTAAAAATTTACAATTTTACACTTCTATATCACCAAAATATTTCTACGTAGAAACTCGTTTTTGACTACATTACTTATAATAAGTAGGGGTATTGAGCCTACGATTTATGTTGTTCACCACCTAGCTTCTTCCCTCTACGTCACTTTTTCCTCATAGTCCTAGGACTTAGTCCTTAATTTGATTTTTGAGTAACCTATGAATAAAACAAATATTAATCTTTCTTCACTTGTGCTCATAATCCTATAACATCAAGATCACATCCTGTTTTCGTTTTTCACTCTTCTTCTCGTCTTTTTCTTCAACAACTTATCAGTTCTCTAACTTCCCTTCTTCCAAAAATTAAATTTCTACATCTCTCACTCTTCCCAAATATGACATCAAACTTGTCAAATTGAAGGAGCATAGGGGTAGCAGATAATTCTATTCTAGCTATTCTTATGGAACTATTGGGGTAAACCTGGTTAATTTCAATGGTATCTTTTACAAGGGTTTTTACATACATGTTTCTAGATAATGGATTCAGGTTGGTTTATAAATTATGAGAAAAGGCATGTGACACAAATAAGTGGGTAGAACCCGGATCATCTAAAACATAAGCTACTATACTATGGAAAAGAACCATACCCGTGACAACTTCAGGAGACACCTCAACTTCACCGCGTGTCATGGAAAAGACAGGAGGTTTCATTTCATTCCTTTTCGTTTGCTCGATGGCAATGCCCCTCATCTCACTAATCCGGTTTCTTTCTCTACCGTGTCCCCCCTCTAAAGTTTCACTGGGGACACTACTCACCGTTCTCGACTCTTGTCTTGTGGTTTGAGATCTAGCAGGTACAGAATCACCCCGAATTGGACATTCTCTAGCATAGTGACCCATGTCACCACTTTGAAAACATCCTCTAGTAACAATACAACAAACCCCAAAGTGGTTCTTCCGGCAATGAGGACACTTGGGTCGTTGAACACCCATCTGAGTATGCCCTCCCTTGCTTGCTGCTGGGGAGCTCCATCAAGGATGTTGTGGTGTGCTTTGCCTAGTCAAGTTTCCACTGGATGCCTGCTCCGTACCATTTGAGGAAATTCACTTCCTTTTCTTCTTCCTTGGATCATATACATGGATTGCCCTCTCTCGGGCTTTTCCCTCATTTATATTAGCATCTGCCCGAATGGCGACTGCCTTCAACCTTTCGTAATTATCCATGTCAGAGATGGTTATCCTGGAGTTGATATCTCCTCTTAAACCTCCTTGAAATGTGCACATTTATTCTGCTTAGTCGGGATTAAATCCATTACAAATGTGAGTAGGCAATGAAACTAAGCCTCATGCTCACTCACCGACTGTCCTTTCTGTTATTTCAGAGTTAGAAAATGTACTTTCTTTTGGGCACGGTATACATCTGAAATATATTGAGCTCGGAAATGCTGTAGAAACACATCTAGGAGTTCACAAGATTATAATGATTAAAACCTCTTAAAATTCCATTTAGTTTACAAACCAAACCATAACTTACATAAACGTTGTCCTTTCCTTGCTTGTACTTCATCACATAAGGGAATGACTCAATGAATTCCAACCGACGAGCATGCCTCTTGTTCAACTTGTGGTGGGTCTTCAAGTACTTAAGAGACATAGTATCAATTAAGAATTATTTTGGCCACAAATAATGGTGACATATCTCCAATGCTCGAACCAATGCATAGAGCTCTTTATCGTAAGTAGGATAGTTAAGCGTAGATGCACTCAACTTCTCACTAAAGTAGGCGATAACTTCTTCTCTTGCATCAACACGACACCAATTACCAATCCTGATGCATCACACTCCACTTCAAACTTCTTGTTACAATCCGGTAGCATAAGAACATGAGCATGAGTAAGCTTGTATTTGAGTAGCTCGAATGCCTTCTCTTGCTCTTCTCCCCAATAAAGCGACACATTTTTCTTGATAATTGATGCAATGGGGAGACTATGGTGCTGAAATTTGGAACAAATCATCCATAGAAGCCAGCTAACCCATGAAAACTCCTCACTTCATTCAAATTAGTAGGGTTGGGCCATGATTGAATCACCTTCTCTTCATCGACCTCGCACCACTAGCACTTACCAGGAATCGGAGAAATACCAAGCCAGAATAAGGCTAAAGCACTTACCAATAGCACTCACTTCATTCAAGCAAGAATAAGGCTAAAGCCATGATCTTTTTACATCATCACATTCATGAGGGATTAAAGGTTGATTACCTTACGATGAAGGATCGTGTTTCTCCCAAAAGTGCGGTATGATTGGATGCACTTATGATTACAACACTTTAAGAATGTAAATGAATATAAATCTACAATTTTTAGGATTCCTTCACAACTGAAGGAAGTATTTTTCTTATTCTCTTTATCGTGTGTTTTGGAATAATTATTTGTAACACATTGACATTGCTATGAGATGTCCATGGTTTGATACAAATCAATCTTAACTTAAGGGGCTCCATGATGGGTTCTCAACCAATGAGAATCACAATCAATCTTATATAATCCATGCGGAACGTTAGAGAACAAGGCAATAATTTGCCTGATTCGCAAACAAAGATCACAAAGAATTCATGTTTGCCTCCACTACTACCACGTCTGGCATGGAACAATGGTGAAGGCCAATGACACTAAATTGAATGAGCATTCTAACAGGAACCTCTACATTAACCACCACATCAACCTTAATAAACGCAACGACTGGGTCAGCATCCATTGGTTTTATTGAAAGAACAACCATAGAAAGGGATGCACTCTACATAGCGCAAACAAAAAGAAAACATATGAAGGAAATAAAAAAAAAATGGAAACGTATAAGAATGTTGGTTTGTCAACATAGTCAATAAATTTATACGAATGTACAACAAGTATATGTGGTGGTACATGAATATAGAATATTCATGAATGTAGTGGTCAATGGAAGATCAAAGCTACTCATAATCATCCAACTCCATAACAACCCCGACCCATAAAGTTAAATTATTTTGGCAATTGGCATGCTCAACAAATTAATTGCCCAAAAAATAAATTAGCATCTCCAGAACTTGTTTCTATCTTTCTTTCTTGGCGATGCACAAATCCGAATGGAAGGGCCAAAAGAAAAGAGAGGTTTACTTTTAGACAATGGAGTTCTTGAAACGGCCACCTAATGGGCCTTCAAAATAGTAATTGCCAGGGGGATCGTATGCGCAGACGTAGAGAAAGCCCTTGTTATTCAGGCACTGGACCCGCCCACAGCCCAAACGGGTGGTGGACTTCCAAATGATCTGTGTGAAGTGGCCACACGGCTGGTTGTCAAGGCACTGATTATTCTGGAAATCATAGTACTTGCTCTCGTCGGCCCACGTCTTGACCACGTTTGCCGGGGTCCAGTGCCCGTACTTGCTCCAGAAAAGGTTCTCGCCGTACACCCTGTTGCTGGAGTGCTCTAACAGGCAGTCTTTCTGCCGGGTATTTGCGTAGTGCCTGGCGAAGCGTGCCAGGGTCCGGTTCCATTTCAGGGCCGGGAGGTAGTACTTGGCCCGGACTTTGTTGTGGGCGTACAAGAATTGGGAGGCCAACGATTTCCCTGTGTATTTCATGTGGTTTGGGTCCGTCGATCCTGCTCCGGCAGAGGATTGGTCACGAGGTGGCGGTGGCGGAGGAAGCGGGACAATCAAATCTTCAAGGCTGGGGGCGCCTAAGGCAGGAGCAACGATGAATAGAGAGATCGTTAGTGGAATCAAGATTGACAGGGTTGCCAACGCCGACGTCGACATTGGTATTAACGCTTCTTCTTCTCCTATGATTCCTTACCTTGCGTCTTTTTTTTTTTTTAATTCCCACCTTAGCTTCTTCTATATTGCTTTTGGGTTTGTTTTTGAGGAATGTATAATTAAGAGAATTGGATGGCTTCGAATTGGCTGCCCTCTCCGGTCCGGAGTGGGGGAGAGCACAGACAAGGGGAAACAAAAGAATGGTTGCATTACAAATCCCACAAAGGAATGCTATAATTAGAATCCCTCCACCAGAAAAAAAAGCCGTTTTACTTAATTTGCTATTTGGCATCTCCATGTAAAACAAATAGGCAATAAAAGTTTACAAACTATCCGTATTTCAAGGTGCTTCACCCCATTTATCACTGTTACTTATTATTATATTAGTTTTTTTTTTGTGAAAGTCATCCATAAAGATTCAAACCAAAGTCCTAGAACGGAAAGTATAACCAAACCCGGTAGTCAATCCAACTACTGATGAGAGAGTCATTTGTGCCACGACATGGGCAGGCCTATAGCATTAACACTTAGCAAATGCAAATGGGTTTGGGTATAAATCCATAAGACTCTACCCATTTACCATGTATTTGGATTTAATACCCAACCCAATTGGATTGGATAGTAAAATATATATGGATTTGGGTAAAATTGTCATCCCTCCCTACTCCCCTCCCGCCGTACCATGAAGAACCACAAAATGCAAAACCACAACTCAACCACACCTCTCATCGGACTAAGTCGATGTATTCGTAACCGGGACAAGGAAATCAAGACAACACAGAGCAATGAGAAAAGTCGGACAGCTATTTCACGCGAAACCAAATATCCATAGCAGTTGTGCCAAAGGCGATGTTGATTTGTTGTTTCGCGGATGAAATTTTTGCGTTGTTGTTTGACGGGACACACCTCTGATCTTTGAACTCAAGACGATCATCCAATATCCATCGCCGAGCGATGTTGATTTGATCGATGCACCTATGACTTCTAACCAAGAACGACCGTTACTCGGTTCACACCTCTCCAAACAATGTTCGAATGAGGGTGTTTGTGTTTTTGGGGAATCTACGTTAAAACTACTCCTATGGAGATTCCTGCGGAGAGCTCCGCGACTACGACTACTGCTACAACTATGCAGATCCTTCTTGGAAGGAGATTTCCTGAAGAGAGTTACAGATCAAAGATAAATTTGGAACAGAGTTGTTTCTGTGTTAATTTTTTGTTCTCTTCTCTCTCCTATTATCCCCGGTGATTTTATCTAAAATCATCTGTGTAGTCTTCACGACAACTCCTCCGCAAACTGTCTTCACAACTGCTTCATCATTGTGAGACAACCTTGCACCTGCCGCCCACGTGCTCCATCCTTCTCCGCAAAGTTGTGGTCTTCAACCGCTTCCATCCCCTCTCTCCGATTCGCGTAAATCTTGCGTGCAAGAAAACAACTCCGTTATTTTCATGAGCTCGCGACGTCGTTTACTCCTCCACCAACAAAGTCGCCAAAACGATGTCATTGATTTGAACAGCTAACAAGACCCCACTGTCAATTAAACAACATCGTTGTTTTACCCCACACCACCATTGGACTCCCAACATCGCTCAGCTCATGAAGTCGTTGAATCCACGAAGTTATTGAACTTACGACACCATTGAGATCCACGATGGTGTTGGCTTCGCGGTAACGTTTAACTCCACGATGTTGTTGAATCTCACGATGCCACGCGGCCTCGTTGAGTTTAAATTCGGAATGCAGCAAGACTTGAGCTGATCACCACTATATTGACTAAACAATGCTGTGACGCCATCAAATCACAACCTCAATGCAACCACAATAACGGTGTTTACACCCCCTGCGGCGTCGTTGAAATATCAACCTTGCAACACCGTTGAACTCACAATATTTAACTCGTTGCCTCGTTAATCTCGCTACGCCGATCAAATTATTTTAGTTGTAAACAATGCCCCACAACTTAGTTTATAAGAATCAATTTTTTTTAACTAAGTTGTTGACACAAATAAATTATCCTAAAATAGTAATTAACTTGGCCTCAAATCCACCAATTTGGCCATAAAATAACATGGCCAAGTTCGGCCACACCTATCCAATCTTGCCAGAATTATTTTAGCCGTGCACCAAGTATCCAACTTGAATTTGCCCAACCTTGCGTTCAAGCTCAAAAAAGGATAAACCCTTTTTAACTCTACTACTTCGGCAACTCTGCTTGACTAAAGTAGTCGTGTCTGTGGGGTTTTTTTTTTATAATTAAGGTAATTGTCTAACGGCTATAGACTTTCCACTAGCGCAAAACGGGAGGAGTTACGGTGCTAATTGTACAAGAGTTAGCACCGTCCTAACTAAGGGAAAAACTACTACTAGTTTGAATTAGTAGTGATTTACCTTAGATGTTGTATTGATTTTATAATAATCCGTAGTGATTTCGTTGTTTTTAGTAGCGTTTTTTGCTAGTTATCACGGTGCTAACCCCTATAAGAGTTAGCACCTAATCCCATCCCGCGCAAAACCGTTTCTCCCAAAACAACTCTGATTTTTCCTCACCAATATTGTTCTGGCCATCTCTTTTTTTTTAATTCTATTTGTCTTTTTTTTTTACATATATATTTAATCGGCCAATTATGAATTTTTCTTTGCTTGCTACGCTGCGATAGATTTCACAATGCAGCTTGGACTTCTTTCTTTACGACGTTGCTAAAGTCTTTCAATCGATATGTGGCATAACCATCATGCCCACAAACATGATTTAATCCCTTTTGTCGTTGGATTTGCCAACGACGCTAAATTGCTTGCAAGTACCATTGTCCCCAGACGGCCAGACCACCAACTTGGGAATTAACCTGTGTGTTTCCATGAGCATATTTGGCCAATTAATCATTCACGCCAACGTAGCACAACTATGCAATATTGGCTTGTCCTTCTATTGCTTCATGAACAAACAGCATATGGCATGCAAAAGCCAATTATGCAACCGTATTTTCACTTTTATCAACACCTTTGAACTAGGCGGAAGTTGTTCCTTTTTTGCGCCAGACGAGGAATAAAATTGCGACCTTGTTTTTCCTTCAGTTATGGAAAACAAGTAGCCAACAGCCCTGTGTCGTAGCCTTGCAAGCCTGCAGTGCTGCTTTAGCCAAATCGGCAGTGTTTGTTTTTTTTTCCTTCATCCAACCATTAAAATATATGAAAAATTTTACAATGTTATATAGCATTGGTGTTATAGGTTTTTACTTTTATGGTACAACTTGAAATTGTACCTTTAATGTTATGGTACAACTTCAGATTGTACCTATACTTCTTGTACAAATTATTTTATGGTACAACTTAAACTTGTACCTTATGTGATGGTACAACTTCAAGTTGTAAAGTTGTACCATAACATAATGATACAAATTCCTTTATGGTACAACCTAAACTTATACATTTAATGTTATGGTACAACTTCAAGTTGTACATTAAAGCACCAATACTATATAGCATAGTAGAAATGCTCATGAATATAGGGCTAATTCCACTAGAAAGCCCAAACTATTTAAAAAGTGTCATATGTGTCTTAAACTATTCAATATGACAAATCTGGCACATACTATTTTTTTTGTTAATGTTCACCGGCGTAGACCGTTAGTATTTATCAGAAAATTTAGTAAACATTTATGTAGTTTGTGCGAGATTTGTCATATTGAATAAGTTTAGGAGACAAATGTCATGAAACGCATATAGTTTGTGACAGATTTGTCATATTGAATAGTTTGCAACACAAATGACACTTTTAGTATAGTTTGGGCTTCCTAGTAGAATTAGCCAATCTAGGTCAAATTTACCCATGATCAGCAAAGTAGTATACTTGTGACCGAGGTCGTATTACTCGAAAACTTTAAAGCTACTATTACTATTGGCCTCTATCTTCTATCTAGACCAACAAGGTGGTTGATGTTTAGGTGTGGACTAACTGAACAAACAAAGAACTGAATAAAGCTAACTATGATGGAGATTACTAGAGTAAGGTTGTTTCTTAGGTCGAAACTCTCTAGTAATATATTGACATGCATTGCATACAAGTTAATAACGACTTCCCTGTCGTTTAAGTTACAAGGAATCCCTTAACCTAGCATCTAAGGAAAGGATCATGTCTGTTAGATACACTTATAGTAGACTTCTTTGCCCAAAGCAACAAATCACCTAGAGCTTTAAGATTAGATTCCTTAAGTTAGGAAAATCCTAATGAAAAATGGGACTTCGACTCAATGATCACGGACTCCAAATCCCACACTACTTGATGTATGTTCTAGACTTAACCTAAGGGGAAGGTCACCTATACTTAAGTCAAGAACAAAGCAATAACCACCTTTGCTAAAGCAAGAGATTGGCATGATTAAATATCAAATAGACATAGATAATAGGTTCACAACCGTTCTTACATACAAACTCATAATAAATCCACAATCTAGGTTCATCTCCTAAACAACAAGAGAAACTAGAACATAGAGAGAGAAAGAGTATACAAGATGAAGAACTTCAATCTTGAGCTAGATCCATCTTCTCGTTCTTGGCTTAAGCATCCCTCTTGAATATCGGGAGGATTTGGATTAGGATAAGGAAAAAATCATACAAAACCTCTCCAAAATCATCTCTATGGCGTAGTATCGAGTTATAAAATCCTAGGATGGCCTAGGGTCATATTCAACGAGGTCTTTTGATAATAACTACTCAAATCTAACCAATTATATTCAAATAATGATGCAAGAAAAATAACATGACGTGGGTTGAGGTGCCCTAATTCATGCTACTAATCTACTAAACAAGAAAGAAACAATGCAAGCAAGTAATTAAGGCAAATCAAGTAAAATGATTGTGTGGGTAGTGTTCTCTAGATGATCATGCATACTAACTCATCATTGAGAAACTTCTATGCCTAATTTATTATGATGCCCTATCCCGTCCTCTAAGGCCACTTCCTACCCCATGCTTGTGCCTTTTGCAATAGGAATTTGATTAA